GGAGCATTGGTGAGGCCAAAAGATATCACCAAGAAATCATAGTGTCCCTCATGAGTTCGAAAAGCAGTTTTAGGCACATCCTCCTTCATTCGGATCTGATGGTATCCTGATTTCAAATCTATCTTGCCGAAGATCACCATTCCACTCAATTCATCCAACAACTCATTAATAACGGGGATAGGAAACTTATCATGTCAAGTTTCCTTGTTACGTGACCTGTAGTCCACACAGAATCGCCAGCTGCCATCTTTTTTCTTCACCAATAGCACTGGACTAGAGAAAGGACTGACGCTTGGTCTGATGATGTTTGCCTCCACCATCTCTCTAATCAATTTTTCAATTTCATCTTTCTAAAACTGAGGGTAGCGATAAGGTCGTACGCTGATGGGTGACACCCCCTCCCTTAGAATGATGGCGTGCTCCTGCTCCCTCTGTGGTGGCAATCCCTGAGGTGGTTGAAACGCCTGTTGGAACTACTAAATTAGTGGTCCTATGGAGGGGTGTATGTCGTTTCCCTCTTCCAGCCCAGCTCCCTCCAAATTTTGCAGCTCCACCAAGTATCCTCCGCCTGCCAACTGTATATCCCTCACCATAGTTTTAAGAGAAACCATGAATTTGGATAACCCCGCATCTCCCTTAATCATCATTTTCCTTCTATCTACTATCAACTCCATCGTGAGTGCTCCCCAGTTTACTTTGGTGTCTCCCAAAGTCTGCAGCCATTTCTTCCCCAGGATGACATATGTACTCCCAAGCTCTAGTGAAAGAAAACCTTCCCTCACTTGAATTCCCTCGATGGTCAGTAGCACTCCGCAAATCCCCGGGCCTTTTTCCACCTTACCCGTGCCCATCATCATCCCATAACAACCGGTATCTACCAATTTCACTCGCAGTTGGTCGACAACCTGATTGAAAATGAAATTGTGAGTGGCCCCACTGTCAATCAGCACCACCACATTCATGTCCTCTATCTCCCCCTTCACTTTCATGGTATGATTTGTAGTGAATCTGATGTGAAACGTAAATGCCATATACTTGCCTAGGTGGCAAGATTAATTAAAGCCCAAATCAATTTGGGGAGAGAGAATGAAAATCTGAAATTAAGGAGTAATTAAAGCTAATTCAAATTCAAATTTTGAATTTGAATTGTCATTAATTGGGAGGATTAAATGATTAATTGATTTAAATCTGAAATTAAATTTCAGATTTAAATTAATGGTTATTGGCTTACTTGGAGGGACGAATTTAAGGAGTAATTAATGCTAATTCGAATTCAAATTTTGAATTTGAATTGTCATTAATTGAGAGAATTAAATGATTGATTTATTTAAATCTGAAATTAAATTTCAGATTTAAATTAATGGTTATTGGCTTAATTGGAGGGACGAATTTAAGGAGTAATTAATGCTAATTCAAATTCAAATTTTGAATTTGAATTGTCATTAATTGTGAGCCTCTCCTAATTAAGAAATTTCTTTATTCCAAGGAGGAAGAGAGGGGGAGGTGGGGGTTGGTGGGCGTCTGCCTAAGGGATGGCCGGCGGGTGAATTTCTGGACGGGCCAACAGGGCCGGCGGCAAGGAGAACTTGGGGAGGAAAAGCCCGAGCTTGGTAGAGGATGAGAAGTTTGGGAAATCTTGGAATTTCTAACCTCACGCTCTTAAACTTCAAGATCTCAAAAGAGATTGTAGGGATGTCGGAACTCACACAGAGATCCACGAAACTCTCCTCAAGAACTCACAAAGAGATCTTGAGAATCTCGGAACTCACAAAGAAATCCGCGAAACTCTCCTCAAGAGCTCACAAAGAGATCTTGAGAATCTCGGAACTCACAAAGAGATCCGCGAAACTCTCCTCAAGAACTCACAAAGAGATCTTGGGAAAGTCGGAACTCACAAAGAGATCCTTCTGAACTCACTAAGAGATCAACACGAAAATAAAATTTTCCATTATCAATAATCCATCCTCCAAATACAAGAGAAGGGCCTCTATATATAGGCCTCAAGAGAAATTAAAAGACACATTCGCCCCTTGGGCTTACATAAAACAAGAGGGTAAAATGGAAAATTGCAAAACTAAATTAAAATACACTTAATAAATGAAAATAAAGCAAAGTGATCTCGGTCATCGATCTTTAGCTCCTCGGATTGGTATGGACGGTTGGATGTCCGCATCAGAATCCTACCACTGAGTTTAGGGAAACCTCGGCCAGATCCAAATGTAGATTCTCCTCCATCTCCTCCTCTGTCTCCTCCTCACCTCCCTCCTCAGTTTCCTCATCATCACAGACGGTGAGGACCTGAAGATTTCGATCCTTGCACCGATGTCCTGGTGTATACTTATCATCGCATCTGAAACACAACTCCTTAGCACTCTTCTCCTGCATCTCTTTCTCTGTCAACCGCTTGAAGTTTCCTCCATTTCCTCCTCCTGTCTTCTCCTTGGTAGCCTCTCGATTCCCTCCTGTTGCAGGGCCTTTAGGTGTGAAATGAGTAGTCGTCATCCTGTACGTGCCCCCGATGTTGTTACTCCTGGCTCCCTTCTCCAAATTCCTCTGATTTTCCACCAATTGTCTTCATGGCCTCCCCCAAGTCACGGGGCATCAATACCTTCACTGCTGCTCGGATCTCTACCTTCAACCCTTCCATGAAATTCTCCTCCAACACTGTATCTGAGAGTCGCTCCACCCTGCTAGCTAGGTGCTCAAACTTCTCTCGGTAATCTGCTACTGATCCCTCCTTTTTCAGAGCAAAGAACTGCTCATAGAAGACTCCTTCCCGATCGCTTTGGAAACGCTCTATTATGCAGTCTTTAAATTCCCTCCAGTTCCTGATCGGCCTCCTCTGGTCTCTCCACTGAAACCACGACATGGCTTTCCCTTCTAAGCACAGTCCCGCTGCTGTCAGCTTCTCCTCCTTTATCAGCCCATTGATATCGAAGCACCGCTCTACCTTGTAAATCCACCCATACGCATCTTTTCCTTCAAATATGGGCATCTTCAACTTCCTCACCTTCTGGTCGCCACCATTTCCCCTGATTCTTCCATAATTTCTCCTTTCCCAAGTGCTAGGTCCACCCCATGTTTCCCAATCTTCCCTTGCTCTGTCATAGCCCAAACTCCCTTCGAGATCTCCACTTCTTTCTTCAAAATCAGCACCCCGATGGCCATAAAACCCCTCATGGCGTTCCCAATCAGCCCCTCTTTATTCCGCTCCCCCATAGTCATACCTTTCCCCATATCGATCTCCTCTTTCCTCCCTATGGAAAGGCTCCACATAGGGTCTTCTTCTTCCCCCTTCCACGATTTCCACCTCTTTTTCCTCCTTACGGATTTCAGAATTGGTGTTCTTCGCTTCTGGGCCCTTCGCTTCGGATGCCGTCGTTTGTGCTTGAAGCTCCAGCATTCTTTTCATCATATCCCCGAGATCGGCCACTTGCCCCTCCATGGAAGAAATTCTTTCCTCCACGGTTTCTTTGAGTGATTCATCTCTCCTTCGAGTCTCTCCTCCAAAGCATCAACTTTTTTTGCCGTCATTACAATCCGGAGTTTGTAAATTCACAAAATATGAATTTTGGAATAAAAAAACAGCAACTTCCTCCTTTTCCGGGCAAAAAACAGCAACTTAATTTTACTTCTTTCACTTCAATTCTCAAAACCTTTTTTGCTTATTTCAGCATCTTCCTAAGCATCTAATTGATGTACAGGGACTCATAAATCTCCTTATTTTGTATTAATCCTTTTTAAAATTCATATCTAACTAATTTTTGTACAGCCAAATATCCAAAAAATCCGATTCTAACCATGTGGGCCAACTTTAAGTTAAGTTGACTCGATCTACTCAATCTCAACTTAAGGACCGGGAAAATTTGGACAATTTACTAGGGACCAGAGAAGTCGCCCCAAGATTCAGAGCGTTGAAAGGAGATTCTATAATGATCAGAGAAGAAATGTGAACCAACAGCAAACTCATCCATTCGAGGGGTGAGTACGAAATGAAAAGCGTTGATATGATCAACGTGAATGGCAAGTCACCAACAACTCAAATCACAAAATATCGATTATGACTCCACTGAGATTCTCTATGGACGAGCTCGTTAGGGCCATTCAGCAAAAAATTCTTCAAGTTAGCATCTTTGATGAGGGCAGAAGGTCACCTTCAAAGTATTGCGCATATCACCGCAACCGCTGCCATGATATTGCGGAGAGTTGACACCTCAAAAGGCTAGTGGAGGACATGATAAAAGCTGGTAAACTAAAAGGGTTTGTTCTTGGTGATTAGGTACAATTTTCAATTTTTGAATGACCCTTGAGGAAATAAAACCTTCCCCTTTTCTTTAAACTAATAGTGTACAATAGCTTAGCTAATAGATCTGGTTATGATATAGACCGTATAGATCTTAATATCCGGAAACAAAGAGGCTGCTAATTGTCATTTCGATGTGGATGGATTAATGTGGAAGGATTAGAAAAGAAAAAATAATATGACTAGAACTTGTTCATAGAGATTTGAGCAACACACCATCTAGTATGAATGGTGAAGAAATATTCATTAGCTAACACAAAAACAATATGGATGATGATGATTCACAAATGTGGACAAGTTCAAGACAAACAAAAGGAAACAGAGTTTCCAATTTTTAGAAAAGGTGATTACAACAATGAAAGTTTCTTGTCACTCTCATCATAGAAGGCTCAAGCAAAGCACAAATAATGCCAAAGTCACACCTACTCAAACATGACCATTAATGAAAGGCTTATAATTAACATAAAATAATCAAAAGTACAACACATAATTTTACCAAAGCAAACATTAAAAATACAAACAAATCCTATCCATTTACTCTTGTGCAATACATTAGCATAAATAAAATGCATTAAAAGTACATTTATAAAAAATATTATATCAAGAATATTAACCCATGAATAGCACTTGGGTTTTGGCATATAATGTGCAATAATAGACCGAAATCATAAAAACAGAAATAATCGAAATAAATTACCTTCTCCACTAGCTGCCTGTGTGCTATTTCTTCTTCCAACTCCTTTTTATGCTTACCCTTAAGCTCCTTTATTTCATCTTCAAACTGGCTGGCACGACCTTCCTGAGTTGCTGCTTCCTCCTTTGCAATGAGATACTCTTGACGGTTCTCGGCAGACCTCTGCCTCTCCTTCTCGAGTGTTCTACTTAGCTGACCTTGCTCTGTTCTAAGAAATGTAATCTGAAATATTTCTCAATGAATTAGTATGTCTAAATATGATGTAATCACTGTAATAATACAAGAAAGAAGCGCTGAAAAAAGAGACCTGGGTTTCCAGAACAGTTATTCGTGATAAACTTTGAGATAGTTGTTCACTCATGGCTCTTTCTCTTTCTTCTGCTGCAGCAGCTTTAGCCTCAGCCTCCTGCCAGATTTATAACAAATGTTGTTATAACATAAACAAAATGCCATGTTGTCTAATATAACAAAAAAAAGCATTTAAAAATAACTAATAATAATCATAAACTATAATTTCTAAGGCCAGTAAATTCATGCTGCTACTACCATAATTAAAGATGATGATGATGCTTTAAGAAATAAAAAAATCAGATGTGTTAAAGCCTGGAAAAAGGTAGCCAAATTGCATGTAAGCTTAGAAAACATGCCTACAAGTTAATGTTCTAAAAAGTTCAGATATCCCCAACAGTCATTATTATCATGATTTATTTAATAAAAAAAATACTACGAATATTAAGAAAGAAATTTTTAATTTGAGCAAATAGATACAAGGCTAGTGAATAGAGAAAAAGAATTCAACATGTTGGCAAGAAATTAGAAAGATACCTAATAATTAAGAGCTTATAAAGAACATTACAACAACATCATCTAGCCTTTATCCCACTACGTGGGGTCAGCTAGCTTATAAAGAACATTATTAACAGAAAAATATGAATCACATAAAATTTCAATAAACATGAAATATAAGAATGTATATATACATATATCGCATAAAAGTTTATAAAATTACAAAAAAAAAAATAAATAAATTGATAGATAAAGACGTCTTTATCTAAACTTAATCACATTTGATTTATAGCTTTACCCCAAAAAAAAAAAGTAGCTCAGTTTTAATGATATGCTTGAGATCATATTTCTTTAAATTAGTGCTAAGATGAAATACTCCAAGATTCTTTGAGACTTTTAACTATAAAAATGTTAGCAGTATATATATTAGAACTATGGTTTGTGGCTGACATGTAAATGTGTGTAAATTGCACAAACATTTGAACAAATTCCTTTCTTCTTTACCGTTTTGAAGAGCAATCACTTTCACATAGTTTTGAACATGCAATACCCTCATTGGAGGGCAGGATTAATATAACCAAAGCATGTAGAAAGAGATATCTTTTTGGAATTTAATAATTATTACCCAGAAGCTTACAGAACTAAAAAGTGAATTTATTCAAGCAATCTAATTGTAGTAACCATATTTCTTTTCAAGCATGGTGATTCTTTCACAACCATTCTTAAAATTTTACTTCTTGCTCTTCACCATGGTATACTTTATTAGATTTAAATGAGAATTTGACTTTTAACAGGACGAATGGCGAAAAAGGATTCATGCAGCCGACACCACGTAGTGGGACAATAGCTTGATGTTGTTGTTGTTGCTCTTCACCCAGTTATACGTACAAAATGAGCAATAACATATACGATCCTTAGACATTTGTGAAAAGGTCAAAAACCTGAGCGCGAAAGTTTAAAGCTCTTTCAACTCCCCGCCAAGCCTCCTCTCTTATAGCAGTTGTTTCCTATTAACACCAAAACCAGCTATAAGGCTAGGACATATGCACACTAAATGACAAGTATTCATATTCAAATAGAAGAGGTTTAAGAATTTTAGCAACCTTTTTAAACACAAACAAAAGAAAACCAAATAAAATTGTTAATTTCTATACCTGCATGACTTCAATCTGCCTCAAAAGTGGCCGGGTTGAATCGGGAACTTGAGTGATCAACTCATTATATCGAAGCTCACTTGCCTGAACATTTGCTTAATCAATATGATAAAATCCATGGGAAACGGTAGTCTCACATGACACAAGAATAACCTGGAGATTGATACTACTAATCACACATAACATAAAAACCTGGAGTTAGCCACAGACCTGAAAGCGCTTCTGAATTTCATCAATATCACGAAGAAGCATTTCCTCTTTGGCAACTGCCTACAATGTTTTGGAGGGCAGTTCGTATGTCAATGGAAAATAAAGGGACTGAAAACAGGAAGAAAAGTGCAGCAAACATATTGAGATGACAGATGAAAATTTAAGTTCAATATTTGTAATGAAAGGAATGCATATCATCAAGCAGAACATTGTTGAAATCAGTACTTGTTGTTCTGTTCTCGTCAAAGCCTGCCTCAGCTCCTCAAGAGCTTGAACCAGCATGGATTCCCGTTCACCTGATTCTTTTAAGCGGCTCTCAAGTTCAATTCGAGCTTCACTATTGGCACGTGCCTCGGCTAGTGCTTCAGCCTCCTTGGCAAGTTTCAATTCGTTAACATAAAATTCCTTCTGAATAGTAAGATCTGCTTGATATTTCTCAACTGTTTCTTGCAGCAACTTCTCTGTAGCAGTCTTATCTTTTTTAATGCTTTCTGCTTTTGCCTCCTCTACCTAAATTGTATGAAAACCACAGATATTAAAGATGAAAAGATTGATGATATACATAACACAAGTTGATTTGCAAACATATGTATAAATTGGTTGTTAACAATTAATCAGCTAAGACTCTTTCAACCATAGAATTACTAGTAAAGTGAAAGAATAAAAATAAAGCAAAGCAAACAATCTGTAGATTTATCAGCAAAAAGGAATTTATGTCAAAACAACAACCCTAACATTCAATTTCAACTCAATATGGTACATAAATTCTTCATTTAACAACCTGAAGCTTAGAGTTAATCTTCTGTTTTTCCTCTTCCATCTCTCTTATCTGGACAATTAGCAAAAAACGTTCATAAAGTTCAATTATATATTGCAGAACAATGAAAGACAGAAAAATAGCCTTCATGCCTGTGCCCTCAACTTTCTGATTGTTGATTCCTGAGCTGCTTGCTTTTTAGATAGCTCTTCACCTGTTTCAGAAGTCATGAACACAGATAAAAACTTTAAAGAAGTTTTCTACTTTCATTCTATTTTTTGCAAAAATTCTAAGCTAATGAATTAAAAATGAAAGAAAATACATAAACTACTAACTACTAAGCATCATTAAAAAAAAGTTTGCTTTTTTCCTAATAGAACATTCGATTAAATACAAAATTTAGAAAAAAAAAGGTAAAAACAATCCATGGGCTACCAATTCATATTTTACCAAAAACTTGGTACTTTAATCTAACAACAGAAAACATGTTTCTTTAATCCTAAAAGATAATTTAATAATATCCAAAATCCTGAAATTCTAGAAGAAAATAGTGAACAAATATACAATTTTAAAATAATCAAGGTGACACTTTGAAATGGAAAATCTGGCAACTATCACATTATAAAAAATTTCAATTGCACGCACAACAAATCCAGCAGCTAAATAATTTGAAATAAGAAAAATCATAGTAATCACAAAAAAATAAAGAAGCAGGTCACACACCGAAGAAAAGAGTTTATCACGACATTAGTCATCCACACCTATAAACCACTCAAAAATACACATCCAACAAGTACACATGAAAAGAGAAAAACTGAAATTTTATTTCACATTCAATATCCAATGCATTTTGCATGGCTGGGGGCCTTATATATATCCTAGACAGAACTTAAAAAGAAAAAGCTTCTCAGAATCTATCAAAATATACTCAAAACAGCAATTTTTTAATAAATCATTCGTTAATTCCAGCAATAGAAATCTTGTCTTAAATTCCAATTCCTGAATTGTTTTGAGGACCTATCAAAATAGGAAAGCTTTTGCCACAAACAGAGAGGTAATAAGGAGATGGGCATGACATTAAGAATCAGGAACAACTGGAGTGAAAGAGGCGGAGCAGCAAAACAATGGCAATAGGCTTCACCAAAGACTGTAGCATTAGCAGGAAAAGCCAAAAAAAAAACAATATTGGGAAAAGCAGAAACAGTAACAACAAAGCCAAAGCAGCAAAGGGAATGATAGCACAATAGCAAGCATATCCATCAAAAGCGAAAATAGTCAGGGGAAAACAACGGGAACAACAATGGCAAGGGTAACAACATTACAGTGATGAAATAACAGCAAGTAGTAATTAGCAATAATTCACATTGTAGGAGCAATTCTGAACTCTAACCGTGTTTATTGAAATTCAGTGCGCTGATTAAAATCATGCAGTAATAAGTTACACCTAAAAATTTATTCAGAATACTAGAGACCGCATCTTCTTCCTACAAAAGTTCTCATCATATGCATATTTATACACTTAAAATGAACTAGGAAATAAAACCTAAGAATCAATTACTTATCCTCCTGATGAAAATATGAACCTACGTGTTTACTAGAAACAGAATCATTTGAGGCCAACCTCTCAAATGGTCAAAACATAAAAGCAAAACTTGCACTTAGAGAACTGTAGAGTGGTGGACGGACTGCTACAATGGATGAACTGAAAGATGTCAATTTGGGAGCCAAGGAAGACCCTCACCCGACCTTCATCAATGCACTTTTAACTAAAGAAATTTAAGAAATGAATGCATTTCTCTATGAATTCAAAGATTATTTTGCCTAGATATATGTTAAGATATCGGTTTTGTCCCCTAATGTGGTAGTTCACATCTTAGACATCAACCTTGATGTTGCACCTGTCAAACAAACTCCAAGGCAAATAAGACTGAAAATTGAAGAATAAGTTCCTGCGGAGACGAAAAAGCTCATTGAAGTAAATGTTGATTGGATAACCAACAATGATCCCATGAAAAAGAATAAATGTCAAATTCACACACACACACACACACACACACACACACACACATATATATATATATATATATATATCAACTTTTGGATCTCAATAAGGTGTAGCAAAAAGTGGAGGGTTGCGTTAGGTAGAGAGAAGTGGAGGGTTGCCGTTGCCAGGTCCCATGTCCTGGATGAGAAAAGTGGAGGGTTGCGTTAGGTAGTCGACAGCCAGCGTAAAACATGTCGAACAATAATGACATGAATCCTTTAAGAAATTGTGTTAATGCTAGGGCGTCATAAAAAAACTTGAGGCGTAAGCATCGAGGCGTTTTTTACTGGAATTGCGCAAAGGCGAGCCTCATATCGCGCAATTTTAAACCATGCTTAAGTGTGAGAGGGACTTTTCCATCGCACAAAAAGCTCGATGCATTCGTCCACTTCAAACATCCAACTTGAATTCTACTAATAATATCCGCATCTATTTCACCATCACTCTGAACCAAGATTTAAAATTGCGCAATTGGGTATTGAGGCATTTTTTTCTTTCGTGAGGTGAGACATAAGCCTCAAGGCGTTTTGGGGTGTAAGCCTCAAGGCGTTTTGAGGTGTAAGCCTCAAAATCCAAAAATTGCGTAAAATCAACATGATAATTTTTTTATGTACAAATGACTAATCTAATAATATAAAACATAACAAATCACAAGATATGAAGTGTTAAGTAATAAGTTGTTTGAAATTAAAATGAAATCCAAACATCACAATAATAAGACAACATAAAATATAGTTCAACTAAAAATTCTATCTTCCAAAATCCCAATATCCTGTTCATTAACATGTAATTCAAAAAATAAATACCAATGACATAACAACTCAGAAGTCATAAACACTATCATCACTAAGGGGGTCTTCATTTGAATCATCGTTATGATGAAATGCTCTCTCCCCTTCCTCATCTCCTATGCAAATGAGAGGCGGCTTTGAAATGCTTTAGGTTTAGGTATGAAGTGCGAAATTGAAGCAGCGCACGAAATAAATATTAGGTTTAGGATTTTGTTTTTTTCATTTTAAGAGGCTAACGCCTCGTCGAAATGAGGCGAGGCTCGCCTCAGTTTAATTGAGGCGTTCGCCTCATATTTCAAGTTCAAGGCATATGCCTTGACGCGTAAATAGCTCTAATTGCGCTGAGGCGCGCGCCTCCTATTGCACAATTTTAAACCATGCTTTGAACAATAGACCCAAGATATCTAAAATGTGTACTCTTATTAATGACTTGATCCCCCAAAGCCACAATCCCCCCACTAGATCTATCATTGCTAAAATTATACTCCATATATTTAATTTAGATCTACTCTAACAAAAGCCTTTAGACTCTAAAATTGACCTCATATTTCAATCTTACCTTCAACTTCCTCTCTAGTCTAATCAATCAAAAGAATATCATCAGCAAAAAACATACACCAGGGTACAACCTCTAGCAAATGTCTAGTGAGAACATCTAACGACTAAAGCAAAAAGATATGGCTGAAGGCTGATCCTTGATGCAATTCAATTAAAATAGGAAAATACTTGGTCAAACCCCCTTGTGTTTGAATATAAGTAAGAGCTGCTGCATACATATACTTAATGACTTGAATATAAGAATTATTACCCTTTTCTTTTCTAAAACTCTCCATAGCACTTCTCTTGAAACTTTATCATATGCTTTCTCTAAATCAATAAATATCATATGTAGATCATCCTCATTCTCTCTATACTTCTCCATCAAAAAACTCAACAATGTATAGCTTCCATAACAGACCTACATGGCATGAATCCAAAATGGAATGAAACGTAAAATGAATATAATGTATTTGAAATGTTTTAAGTTATTTGAATGAGTGTAAAATAAATGCATATAATTATTTTTTTGTTTAGATTGAAGTAAAATGAATGCAATATAAAGTTCAATGATGGTGGGGACCGATGGCTCACGATAGGCGGTGGCAATCAATAGCGAGTGACTGCAATAGCGATGAGCGCCGGCAAGTAGCAGGTGATAGTGAAGGTCGGCAGTCTCAGGGCGACGATAATGACACATAATTTATAATGTATTTAAAAATTGGTCAAATCTAATTATTTTTAAATACACCAAAAGTAAACTAGATGATGAATTCTAAATATTTCAAATTTTTTCTTTGCATTTCTTTTACTTCAAATCAAATATAGATATTTTCAAAACCCCTGCATTTGGAATAATGTGCACTCCTTTTTACTTCAAATTAAATAGCCCCTTAAGCTTCTTTTAAAAGGAGACATTTATTTATTCTTTCACTCCTTTCAGCATGCTAAAGCCTTTTAAAATAAAATAAGGCACCAAATTATCCATTACATGTCAGCATTTGCATCCACATCAAAACAAAAAGATATGTCATTATCTCCTAAAGGGAATATTATGGCCATGAGCGGAAACATGTGTAAGTGAGGTTGGTGCCCACCCACAAATTTTTTATTTCAATAAGATTGTTAATCCTAAATAAAAAAATTTCCCAACAAAAACAGAATTTTTTTCTTTGATATTTTTTATCTTAAATTAAAAGGACAGTTTAATTTAACAAGTTATTGAAACATGTAGTTTAATCTTATTAAATTTTTATAAATATATAATCTTGTTTGTAATTTTGACCTGCCTAAAATATTTAAAATGGACTCGTGAAACCTCATGTAGTCTATATTACAAACTTAGCAACAAGAGAGAAAGCTATAAAAGACCAAATTGTTCTAGATTATTTATAAACAAAAATATTTTTTATTTTCAAGTGATGTGAGACTAAATGAGAGGAGTTTGTAGTTTTATTAAGTGGTATGGAGGGGGAATGATGTTGTGAGTCTCACTATTAAGCTTTTGTGACTTGTTATAGTCTCATGACTTACATCATTACACTCCAATTTATATTACTAACACCACTATTACGCTAGAAGATAAATAATAAAACTTTCCTCTTATAAATTTGATGGTATTATGTTATTAGGTAATTTTTTTATTCATTTTAAAATAATTATTATTATTATTTAATTACTTAATTTTTTTCTCACACTAAAAAAGGAAGCTAATTATGCCCCTAATTATGGCCATTCACTTAAAGTTTGAACTCTTAAAGTAATGCAAAAAGAAGATAAATATGAAGAAAATGTATTATGAGTAAATTTACTGTCAGGAAAAACATATCCATGCCCTACCTTCAGCCATAACTTGAGTGATTATTTCATCTTTCTCTTTCAGGAGAGCAGCTGCGTCACTTCTTTTGTTTTGTTCTCTTCTTAATGTATCCTTCTCCCTAGTAAGAGAGTAGACCTGAAATTGTTGCACAATCTCTCAACAGTTAACAATAAAATTGGGCTAAATCAATTTCTTGCATTTCAAATGAGGAAATTCGAAAAACCATTCCAATAACAAATAGTTAAACGATGATTTAAAAACAAAAAACGATGAAGTATTTTCCCCAGGAAATTTCCATCAACTTTAATGTAATTTCAAATAAAAAAATTAAAAATTAAAAAAACTCAGCAATCCTACTTGGTAAGTTCCTAAAATAGTAGCACTCCATCAAATGTTCATGTTTAAATGAGAAAAGCCACTTCAGTTGATTTGAATAGTTCAAGAAATCTATAAAAATCACTTGGTAGTTAATTTTCATTACTCTTTCACCTGCATTTTTGCTGTTTGGTAACCCCTATGAAAAGGTGATGCAACCTTGTCAATAAACATCACTGCGACTAAAGTTACCAGAACAGTGATGGCAGGCATCAATTACAAGATTTTAGTAACGCTTCCATGATACTCCATTGCAAGGTAGAAAAAAGCTAAACAAATGTCTAATTAAGGCTGTTTAAACATAAGGTGGAAGAAGTAGAATGCTTAGAAGTAGTCATAAGGCCAATCTCAAGCACAGTATGTTGCTGATGTTGTGCAAGAAAGGAATCACAAAACTACAATGAAAGATGAGCACCGCTAAGGTGATTGAAGCACAATTGTGTCGCCATTTATCAATGCTTTAAATAACAAGGGGTACTTGCGGCTTAAGCATAAATGCAGGCGGATTAGGGGGAAAACCACCTAAAAATTATATTGTGCAATATCTCTTTAGTTTAGCTTCTAATTTTTTGCATTATTAACTTATTCTACTTGCTTGAACTTGAATGTAATTGTAGTGTAAGCTCCTATAATTATTTTTTAAGTCAGGGTTAAATAGCTCGTTTACATTGAGCATTCAAGTTTATTACTTGCACATTGCATAGATCACTAAGCACATCACCATACATACCCGTGTGTTTGGATTTAAAAGTTGTGTAACTTCTCAGTTAGTGAAATTAATTGGGTTAACTAGTGTAATTGAGTAAATCATTAACGAGCTTGATAGTTATAACTCTCTTACTAGCTTCATCATTAGATTACACCTTAGTTAATTTGTGTGAAGTCGCGCTTTTTAAAATTTGATAAATTGATTACAAGTGTGAATTTTTGTTGTGACAAATGCTTATACATTCATTTATATTAGTCCACATTGACCAAATCATTTCTCTTACGTAGTTACATGTGTATACTTATTTAATAATTAGTTTGTGTACTTATTTGATAAATTATGTAGCTTCTATTAGTTTTTAATTGTAAGAGTTTGAATGATGGATTTCAGAAGAAGTTCAAAATGCTCCATTATAAACCTAATTAGTTTCACTCGTGCTGTACCCTTGACTATCAAAACTAAAATGTTTGTGAATTTAAAAGGGCCAAAATAAGCAAGTAAAACCAGAAAATCTGCATGAGAAGAGCAATTATAACCTTTCTCTCAAGCGCAGCGACTCTTTGATGGTATTCATCACGAAGGGCATCAATATCTGCCTCTGCTGATTTTCTCTGCAGATAAAGTACAATAGTTATTTCCATAAGCTCTACTGCTGTGCAGTTCTAACAAAAAACTAACTCGACACATAAAAAAAATGAGATGCAATCATGCTAAGAGGAAAAACATATTCACTCAAGTTATTGCCATGTAAAATATGTTTCATGTTCCAAAACATATTGTTTAAAATGATTTCAAGGCCTGGTAAGACATACAGACTTTTTAAATCTTCCCAAACAACAATTAAGCATTGCTGTGTTGACTGTTGAAAGGTCTACAACCTGCTAAAAACCTAAGGTTAACACATTGGCATTCAAGAAATGAGGTTATGTAAGCTTTAAGCTTTGCTTCATGCAAACATCAGTGAAAAGTTGGTCAAATCCTGAAAAATATAAAAAAGAGGAGCAAGTATAATGACAAGAATGAAGAAAATCACAAACAAGTACACAACAGCATTTATTAGACAAATCTCAAGCAGCTTTAGAGAAGTATGGACTGCAAAAAAAAACTTCTTTCCGAAAAGGGGACCAAAAATAGAGCATAAATTCAAGTAATTACCTTCAACTCCTCAACCGTAGACTTCAAAAGCTCATTTTCATTCATAAGTTTGGCAATTTCATCAGCTTTGGCCTGATGCAAAATTTAAGTAAAATGTCAAAAGTTGCAGCATTTAATACAATGACATAACATCAAAAACAGAGAGAACAAAATAGTTCATCATTGCTGAAGATTAGATGTCCCGAGCCCTTTAAAATTTGGTATCGTAATAGGTTCCCTGATGCTCCCATCATTTTTTCAATCAACTAAACCTTCAACAACAACAACATCAAGCCTTTATCCCACTACATGGGGTCGGCTACTGGCTACATGAATCCTTTGTCTCCATTGTATCTTATTAAAGGTCAAATTCTCATTTAAATATAATAAAAAAAAGGTCGCTTCTAATTTTTCTAACCAAATATTTTTAGTAACATTCATCTTAATTGAGCAATTCAAGCTTGCTCAACCTCCCAATAAATAAATAAATACAAAAAGGGGAATTCATTTATTCATCTCATGCTCCGATCCTCCCCAAAAGAGTATTTATAGAGTACAATTGACGTAGGACTACAATGCATAAAGTAACTTGATAAGAACTTATACGACTTATTGATTGGAATACTAATGATTAGAACTACTAGCAAATAAAAACGACAAAATAAAATGTAAGAGCGGTCACTTCCGTTTAAGTTAAGTTGCTCAATCAGAGCTTTGAATTATCAAGATAACATAGGAAATCAACAACATGCAAATATAACAGCTTTCAACGAAAATCCCTAATCTAAAAATAAGATTAGAAACAAATGAAGTGCAATCAATCCCTATGTTTACTAAGCTCGGCAGAATTAGGCGAACACGATCTTCATGAATTAAATCAAATCACAAGAAAGAGGGTTAGACTAAGGAATTACAAGAGGAAGATTTGAAGACCTTCGTCAAGGCTCGGATGTAATTCTCCACTGTACAGTCCCAAGTTGCTCCTCTATGGCTTCGACGAGAGTGTCTATAATACGCTCCACGGAGCGTATTCCTCGACGGTGTGATCGATATTTGGGTTGACGTCGAAGAAAGTTGAGTGAAAGATGCAAACAAATCCTTGCTCGTCGTAGGCGAGGCCGTAATCAAGATCTGGATCGGCCATTCATGAATGCTAGATGACGATCATATCCGAAGATCACTAGCAACCTTGAAACTCCATCAGAGAGAAAGAAGTTTCTCTTAAACTTGAAGTGGATATGATGGAATATGGCCGGCCGAGGGAGGAGGGAGAATAGGGAGTTTGTGATGGGGACATCAGAGTATGGAGAGTGAAGCAGAGGCGTGGCCGTCGATCTATGGCCACGATCGATTCGACATAGTTTTGAGTCATTTCATGTATTTATCTTTTATTATGTTATTTATCTTTTATTATTTATGTTGTAATTGTTTTTCCGTTTTTTACCACTTCTTAAAGGGAGGTCGTATGTAAGCTCTGAGGGCATTATTGTCTTTTTTTATTTTGAGTCTTATGTACGAGGCTATTTATAGCCCCTATGTTCTCTTTGAAAAAGGATGAATGATTGATTACAAATTTTCTTCTTCTTGTTTGAGTTCTCTTGAGAGCTTGAGAGTTTGAGTGGTGAATCCCTAGGAGAGGGAACTCGGATCACCCACCAACTTTGGAGACGACCGGGTTCGTTGTTCCTTATCTTGTCTTCTCATTAAATCTTTTTTCCCTTACCTAGCTGCCGGCCAAGGTCTTTCCAAAACCTTGCCGCCGGCCACTTAACGTCCCTCCACCACCACTTCATAAGTCCCTCTCCCTTGGCTAACCCAAACCCGTCCCCACCTCGCCCACCCGACCCCCTTTCCCCCACATCCCCACCCATGGCTTCCAACCAACCAGCCGGCCCACTCCTCCTCTCTTCCCCTCCCAAATTCAAATTCCCTCTTTGAATACCTTCCATAAATAATTCACCTTAATTTGGGAAGCTTAATTTCAAATTTCAAATTATTTTGAATTTTGAAAATTCTTTCCTAATTTAAGAAAGTTATTTTTGGAAAGTTTCCAAAATCTTGCTTATTTGAATTTAAATTAAATTAGGATGAGATCTTTCATTCTTAATTTAATTCCCCTAATCTAAGGAAGCATTAAAAGCTTCATAAACTTCTCCCACCTAGTCATTAATGCCGCAGGCCCCAATAAATTCCTTTTGGAATTATTTCCAAAACTCAAGCTAGCACTTCGGAAATAATTCAAGTCCTCTTTATTCCCTCTTGGTTGAAATCTCCATGCTCCAAATCTATTCAAAATCTTTCTAAAAGAGGATCTCCCCCATTTGGAATTAAATTAAATTCCTCCCTCTCTCTTGCCCGCCGTCCCTCTCTCTCTCTCCCCCTTCATTAATTCTTGTCAATCAAGGGGAATAACTAATGCCTGATTTGAATTAAATCCCTTCCCAAAATCTGAACCCAAATTCCCTAATCTCTTTCCCCCATGACCGGCCACTTATTCCCCTTTCTTCCTTGGGGGCTTTGAGCTAAGCTCCTCTCTTTCAATAGGAGCCTTAAAGGGAAGTACCAACTAGCATGTTCAACACTTCAACGCCAGAGAAACTTCTTTCTCTCTAAGTTGAACCTTCAAGGAGACTACGACGAACTTCTTCAACAACTCTACTACTTGTTCGGACTCAGACTAAGGTGAACTTTTTCCCCTTTTCAATTATCTTTCTAATCCCCTAATCTTGTAGGTAATGATGGTTCACAAGGAGCCATGCTTCACCTTTGCCTAAGCTTAATAAACGTAGGATTTTGTTTTGCCTTGCCCGAGACTTAATAAACGTAGGCTTGGGTGTACTTTCTATGCTTCTAATCTTATTGTTAGATTAGGGATTTTTGTTGAAAATTATTTACGTGGCATGTTGTTGAATTTCTAGCTTAATTTGATTTTTCAAGTGTTTGGCAAGTGGCTTAACCTAAACGTAGGCACCCCTCTTTTGTTTTATATTGTCGTGGTGATTGCTAATAGTTGTAATCTTACGTGCTTAATTCAAGAAATCGTGCAAATTCTTATTCATTCATTTAAAAAAACTTTTAGTCCTAAATCAGTTTGTTTTAGACTTGAAAGAGAGAAGAGCTTAAAACCTGAAATTAATTTCAGATTTTATCAAGGAAGGGATTTGAAATTTGAAAATAATTCCAAAAGGGGATGAGAGAGGGGAGGGGCGGTGGCAAGGGTGAAGGGAGTGCTTTAATTTATTTCCAAAAGGAGATATTCCCTTTTGGAAATAAATTAAATAGGTGGGCTTAGGGGATTTCGGCTAAAGTTGGTGGGGATGAGATTTAGAATTGTTTCCAAGAGGGGTTAGAGGGTTTTACGAAATAAATCCCTTGGGATTTATTATAGGGGCCGGCGACTTAATGGCAAAGGAGGAGATTGGGGAGGGGATTTGGGGTTGCTTAATTTAGGATTTAGAATTTAGGAAAGAAATAATTAAATCCCCATTAATTTGAAATTTTAAAAGAACTTAATCAAGTAACTTTCCTAAAATATGTTTCCTAAATTATGAAAGAATTTCAAATTCAAATTATTTTGAAATTAGACCTCCCTAAATTAAGAGTGGATGATTATGGAAAGTATTCAGGAGGGGTTCGCATTGAGGGGGAAACGTGGAAGAGGTGAGAGGGGACCGGCGGCTAGGTTGGGGCGTGGGGAATTCTTGGAGGAGGGAGGGGATTTGGTGAAGCCAACGGATATATGGTTTGTGGTGGTTGGAGAAAGGTGGAGGTTGGGCGTGTGCAGGGTTGGTTGGGGTGAAGATGGCCGGTGGTGGTGGTGGGAGGTTGAAGGGAAGAGATAAATAAGAAAAACCACGAATCCGACTCGTCAAGGTTGGTGGGTGTTGCGCAATTCTCCCTCTCCTAGGGCTCTCACTCCAATCTCAATCTCTCATGAGAATTCAAACAAGGAGAAGCAAAGTTTTCAAATAATCATTCATTAACCTCAAAAGAAGAACAATATGGCTATAAATAGCCTCATACAAGACTCAAGAAAATAAAAGAACGACAATGCCCCTAGGGCTTACATACGACCTCCCTTAATAAAATGGTAAAACGGGAAAGCAAGAACACATAAATAATAAAAGCTACATAACATAATAAAGAAAAACAAATACATGAAATGACTCAAAAATACATAGACTCGATCGTGGTGGTAGATCGATAGCTACACCTCTGATATACTTTACATGCTCTGATGTCCCCATCAACAATATATGCCATAAGCTCATTTCTCCACTAATTAACCATATTTAACCACCAAACATCATCCTAATATCCTAATTACAATATTCTATTGCAGGTTCACAATATTACTCGTCTCACAACAACCATGCCCTCAATGTTGGTCTTCCAAGTCGATCTAATAGAGGCGGTGGTAATCCATTCAACCACAATCTCTCAAGTGAATATGTTTTGTGCGCTAGACTAACAATAAAGTTAAGGAAAATTGTTGACCATTGGACACTTGATGAACTTGATATGTGCTTCAAATGAATCAAGTATGAAGGCTTGCATCTTATCATCAATAGTCATATCAATCCTTGTAACATCCAAAGTAGTGCAAAGAACCTTATAAGTTGCTTATCCTTTCTTGAACTTCACAAAAAGAAGACATGATGGTCATGTCCTTTTCGCATTTATGTAAAGGAAATTAGAAGTAATCCCTCAATGCTTATCTACGAAATAATGAGACTTGGAAGTAAGTTTTGTCAATGTTGTCCATGATTATTGTTGAATTAACAATTCAAAGTGTTGTTCAAGATTTGTTAATTATAAACTAATTGATTTCAATACAATAAACATAAATGCTACATTTATCATCCAACTTTTGGTTCTTGCAACACAATTCTCAATTAAACGATTTTCAACCTCCATTAAGGAAATCTATTGACATCACATGTCCGCAATAATGTTGTAATTCTCCTTCAAAAATCTTATTGAGAACTCGGAGCTGGAAGACTCAATGGGAAGATTGTAAATTGCACTGCATTGTGGAAGGATTCTCGGCGTATGGAAAAAGAAAGAACATTGTGAGTTTCTTGCTAAAATTTTTCTAGATAAAAGAGATGGAAAAGGCAATCATACGGCAATACAGAACAAGAATATGCAAATTTGTGATGAGCTCAATGATGGGAGGAAGATAAAGAAGGGCAAAAGTGATGAGTGAAATCACGCTTATTGGATTGCATGATCACAGAAGAACAAGTGCAGTTAGGGATTTTGAAACACTAAAAGTGTCTGAGCCAAAAGTTGAAGCAAGGCGACTCGGCATCGGTAGATTGAAGGTAGTTAAGTGGAATTGAAGATTAGATTAAAGATCAGAAGTTTCTTGGAGGTGGAGTTGTTAGATGGCAATTGAACCTGAGTTGACAAAGCTAGTTAATTTTGGCAAAATCAACAGAGACTTCTAGATTGGGTCCACCTACAAAGCTATAGTGGGGATCATGGGGGCAAGGAGCCCCTACCCATCACATAGTAGCTAAAAAACACATAATAATTTATTTTAAAAGTTAAAACACATGAGGGTCATCACATAGCAGCTAAAAACCACAAAATAGTTTTTTTTTTATTTAAAAACAAGGAGAATCGTACTAGGGATTGAACCCAATATCTTCAACTCTATTAACCAACCTCTTATCCAATAGGCACAGAGTAAATTTATGCTTGAACTTTTACTTTTCTTATTTATATTATTATTAAATCCTAAATATTAATTACATTATATATATATATATATATGTGCGTGCGCGCGCACGCAATACATTTTTCTTATAAAACTAACATCTAAGTATTTAAATTGAAATAAAATACTGATAAAATTTGTGTGTAATACAACTAATAAAATATAGAATTTAATAATTTACTAAAAAAAATATTGATATCCTTAGAAGATCAAAATATTATTTCACTATGAATTATTAAATGGAAAGACAAAAGAACTCACCTAAAAAAATTAAAAGTATTTTAGAAATCATCAATTTGTTCCCCCACTAATAATTTTTTTTGGTGCCGCCCTTAATTGAATTATCGTTGTGCTTCTTGAAGGAAGCATCGTAATATAGTAGCTGTGTGGTAACTTCACGCGGAGACTAATGGCAAAATCTCCTTATAGTGTGAAGCAACGTGGGAGGCCCTCGTGTTGAGAGAGAACAGAGACAAATCAACAGGATGTTGAGCATATTACTTGTGCAAGGGAGAAAATAATGCCGGCAAGAATTAATCAAACCTTGGTGGAGCAAGAGGCAAATCGAGAAGGGCATCGGTGGATTCTTGAGGCAATAAGATATGGATGACGGAAATTTTTGCTCAAGATAGCATGGCAAAATCAATAATGACTATGGAATTGACATTCAGATTTTCAATGGCTAGCTTTTGATTTACTGTGGTTTAGGTTGATGAAGAAGATGTAACGAAAGCACCGATGATAGGATCCTCAATCCTAATCGAGTAATTTGAACTTGCTCAAATTCCGATAAAAAAGGAGGCAAAAATTTGATACAAGTAGAGGAATTCATTTATTCATCTTATGCTCTCATCCTCCCCAAAAGAGGTATTAATAGAGTACAATGCCTACGTTGATAATCAATCTACTAATAAACCACATTAAACTACAAAACACATCTTCATATCCTAATTAGAATATTATGTTGTGGATTCACGATAGTTTCATGCAGAGCAAAATGGCTCTAAGAAGAAGAAAATAGATGTTGTTTTCCTTCAGAAAAAAATTCAGATTTTTCACTAGGAGAATTGATGAGGACAAGCCTAAGAGAAAAGGAAAACTACTTCCAATGGACAAGAGGTTCATCCATTCATGTATTCACATATTTGAATCATTAAAAATAATAATAATAATAATAATAACAATACTTTTTTTACAATGCAAAGATAAGATCAATTACACTAATCCAGTTCAAATGGAAGCATAATCCCTTTAAGCTCAACAAATGAATATATTTATGGTATAATAACAAATTAAGGCGCCAAGGTAATAAGTTAAATAGAAACTTTAACAAATTTGGAAAATACTTGTTAAAACAATAAGAGAGATTGTTTGCCAATGGAGGTTAGATATTAGCAATGTTTGGTCAGTGCTAAGTAAAATCAAGGTGAAAAATATATTAGAAGCCTCAATATGAAGAAATGCATTAAAATGCCACATATTGTTTTGATTGAATCGCAGTATGTTATATTTTCCTTTGAAGATGCATCAATTCCAGCTTACATTAGTTTTCTGTAGATAAACGTAATGACACGTTGAAAAAACAATCATATTAATTTGATTATCTTTTTCCTGAATATATCTATGCAGTAATTGCATGTTATATTCATGCACTTCAGTAAGTTGATTGAAAGAAAATAACTTTGCAATTTGAAGTCCTTGAAGTGTTCCAAACCAACATAAATGGTAAAAAAAATCATTCCTGAGAAATACAAGTAAATGAGTACACTTAGTAGGTAGACTGCAGGACATATGTTAAACCAAGTTGTAGAAGACAACAAAAAAACACAAGATATTTTCTAAAAACATGTATGATCCATGTTTATCTATTGGCTTTCTTATGTTTAGAGAATTAAACCTGGGCTTGTCTAGCAGCTCCTTGCAGGGCAGCTTCCATCATTTCCCTTTCTTTCTTTACTTTTTCCAGTTCAGCCAAAAGATTTCTAGAATCTGAGAGACCTGCTGTCATACTCCTATAGTTTGTTTCCTTACTATCTTCAGAAATCTTCATTTGAGAACCTACTTCCATCAACTCATTGGAAGCACTGGAATCAGGTAATACTTTGGCTGGATCCTGCAACAAACTCTGTGAACTAGAAGATTCTCCATAGGAAACTTCACTTAAATCCTTGATCATGGAGATATTTGGGCGAATTGAACCTGGAGATTCTCCCTCAAGACTTGATTGTCCACTATCTTGAGTATCATGATGTTCTGGAGAACCAATACGAAGCATGCTTTCTTCTGTCTCCTGCTTGTCATGCATTTTTTGAGAATTAACTGCATCATGGGAACTATCAGGAGTTGTCAAAACAATATCTAGTTCTGTATCAGCAGAACTTTCCTGGATAATTTCACCAGACTGTGATCCAACAATAGAAACCAACTCCTTTTCATTGCTATGTGTCTGCTCTTGAGATGAAAGATCCTGCTTTTTGAGATCTGCCAAGTCTTCTTCAGCTTGTACGATATTTGACTCAGGTTTTGCTTCACCTTTGTCTGGCCCCAGAGTCATGCTCAATGAGCTCAAGGAAGACTCAAAGTCATTTCTCCCCATAGTTTCTGAAATCAGGTTTTCCTTCTCTAGAAGAACCTCAGTTTCAGCCTTAGTTACTGGTGACACTTCACCAGGAAGGTCATCCTGCTTTTCTTCAGATGCAAGATGTTCTGAAGATTTCACTTTTTCTGATACTTCAACAGTACCACCATCTCCTCGATTCCGCGGCTCATCTCCCCTATTCCCCATGAAAGCCATGACTGGGTCGAAAAGTGCTTTCCTGTCGACAGCTGAAGGCCATATTCTAGAAGCTGCTGCTTCAAACATTGCACAAGAGCTAAAGTAAGATGCACCACAAGTTAATTTGAGACAGCTAAAATTGCAATCAAGAACAATATGTTTAGACACCTATAGTCCCAAAACATTGACGACTACAAAAAAAAAAATTGCATGCTAGTAACTCTTACTGTCAAAAAATAAAAATTCGAAATTCCCTATACTTGTTGTTTCCTGGGCAAAAGAAATTCCTTCATATGCAATGCAAAACATATAAAAATTTCCAAAGATTCAAATCCTTAAATTCATTAGGATAAAGGTTTGAACACACAATCCAGTATGAGAAGTGTTATCTTGAGAGTGGCATTACCTTCACTAGTGTCAGATTTCTCTTCCAAGCCAAGAGCGCTATCGAAATTCTTCTCGATATTCTTCACGCTCTCGCTAAGCTTTGTCACCGCCCCAGCTAGATCCGGGAAGCCGCCCAAAGAAACCTTCCCAAGCCAGGCCATTCTAAGGCCGCTTCAAGATTGGTTCTCACGGATCCGGACCCCTTCCCTTAGATCATTCAAGGCATGCGACTCTGGATCAGAAAAAAAACAAACAGGGAAAAGAAAGATCTTCAAAGATCGAATTAAATCAAATGGCGGAAAAAGAGAAAAACCGAGCATAAACCTACCGAAATTTGACGGGCAAGTTGTAGGATGGAACCAAACAACAAAACTTGGAAATGATCGGACAACGATCTACCATGAAGAGAAAATATCAGACATTTAGGGGCTGTTTGGTATGCGGATTTAGGCCGGATTTAGGCGAAATCCAGCCAAACGGCCTAAAACGCAAAATCAAATCTCACGGTAGATCAAAGCCGCGGTTGACGGAAAATCCCCTCTTTTCGTGGTAAATCCCGGATTTACGAAATCCTTTGGTTCGGCGGATTTACGGGATTTGGACGAAGAAGCGCGCGAAAGGGAGAAAGTTACCTTCACAGCAAGCTAGCTCCCGTTGTTGCTTCAGATAAAAAAATGTCGTAACTTCCGATCCAACAGAACAGGAAGGTAATGTCGTCGAAGGAGCAAAGTCGAACGGCGACGAAGAAGAACTCGTGAAAAATTCTACACTCGTGCAAAGGAACAAAGCCGAACGAAATAGGAGAAATTATTCTGCGCCGAATCCGGTTTAAAGAGCTTTGTTGGCATGCTTAGGGGCTTTAATAAAATCCTGTAAATCCCAATTTAGTAAATTCGAAATGTGTTAAATTCTAAAAACTGTTTGGTATGTTAAATGTTAAATCTTGTTAAATTCTTTTTTTTTTTTTTGGAAAAATTTGGGCCCAAAGCCTGTATAATCATACAACGAAAATGTAACAAAATAAGAGATTACAAGTAAGACTCCAACATAAGCAAAAATACAAACTTATGCTGACAAAAGATACAAGAAACCCCAACTATACCATCCATAATAAAATAAAACCTATAAGAGAGCCAAAATTGTGGTAAATGACACAAAAAAAGAGCAAAGGAACACAATATCTGACCACTCAAATGAGGAGTAAGAAGAAGTTCCAGGCGCAAAAACAGCCCCAGAAACGCCCAAGGCGTCGTCACCAGTGAAAAGATCCAGCCAGCAGCAGAATTTCAAGACCTGCAGGAAAATTGAGACATAACCAGCTCCCAAGCTATAGAGACTGGACTCAGGATAACAAAAAAGAACCAAAAATAGAAGGAGCCCTGGTTGCCCGAAGGCCATCCAAGGGTCCAGCCGCAAGGAGCATCATCATGGTCCAGTCTCAGCAGAAACGGCAATCCGAAGGGACAATGGGCCACGAACCAAACCAGCCACTTATAATTTATCCAGCAGAACATTAGCACTTTTCCATTGCATAACCTTTTCAAACAGAATACGTTTAATATTAATCATCACAGTAGTGAGACATTGATAATTTCCACTAAACCTCCTCCCATTCCTTTCTTTCCAAGTGTAATAGATAATAGAACAAACCACCAACTTATAAAATTTCAAAATCTCAGCATTACAGCTGAATTCACCTTTTATCCAGTCAAATATTTGCAAAATCGAAGGCCTCACAGAAAAATTTTCACCCTAGGAATAATGCCTCTTAATATAGAGAAAGAGAATGAGCACTCAAAGAAAAGATGGCCAACAGATTCTTCAGACATGTGACATAAGCTACATTTAGAGGGAATAAAAATTTGCCTTATACGAAGAGCGTTCGCAGTCTTTAAGCCTCCCATTAACGCAAGCCAACCAAATACAGAGTGTTTAAGGATATGCTTTTTATGCCATAGCAAAGAGGACCAGTAGCAGTTAGGTAGCTTATTATAAAACTCATGAATGTAATGCTTAAATTTAAAACAATTACTTTTCTTCCAAAGCAAGGACGGCCCAGCACCAGCTAAAATGTTCACTCTCTCAAATACCTGATGAAGCAGAGGAGGAATCACAGCCGATAACTCCCAGCAATCTCCGGAAATTAACTCTGAGAGCTTGATATCCGGCAAAGTAATAGAGTCATCAATCCCAGAATAATTCTCAAGCGTGGAATTAAAACACCAATGATCCCATTTCAGCGAAATGGGAGAATTCTGATAAATATCAAACTGAAAATAGTTTTTGCATTGAAAAGCAGTGTTGCAAATAGATTTCCATAGCTTAGAAGAAGAAAACAGAGGTGGCTTCCAAGGAGATTTGTATTTAGAAAGTAACCTGTGAGCTAGAGGTGAAGAGCTATTGTACATCCTAACAATAACAGTACAATTAAAGGCAAATTGCAAGGCATTCAGAGAGTGTATACCCAAACCACCTTTACTTTTAGGCAGACAAATTTTATCCCATGATATCATATGTAATTTCTTAGCCATGTTAACATCACCAAAGAAGAGAAATCTGGAGCTGACTTTCTTAAATGATTTATGCACAGATTTAGGTAAAATCGAACCCCGGATCCAGTAGGCAATAGTATTTTGTATGGTGAATTTGAGGTACTGAAGTCTCCCCGCAAAAGATAGTAAATTGGCTTTCCAACCATTGAGTTTCTTGTTGAGGCTATCTAATAAAGGAAGATAATCAGCAATATTAAGCCTATAAAAGGAAAGATGTATACCCATGTAGGTAATCTTGTTAGCAATGGAATGAATGGAAAGAGCATGGCATATCTCAGTTTGATTCTTCAGGTGCTTGGGAAACATGATGGAGCTTTTGTCATGATTTACAACAAGACCTGAGGAGTTGGTAAAAACTCCCTAAGAACAGAGTCCAGAATGATACAGTTGCTAATAGTGGCCTCCCCAAAGATCAAAACATCATCAGCATAGAGCAAGTGGGTGAGAGAAAAATTACCATAAGATATACCTTTAAAACCACTAGCTTCCAGCAGATTGGAGAAAGCATCCATAAAAATACAAAAAAGGTAGGGACTAAGAGGACACCCTTGCCTCAACCCAGCAGTGGAGGGAAAATACCCCTTGAGGGCCCCATTTAGCACAATTGAAAAGTTAACATCTGTAATTCAAGCCCTTATCCAGCTCACAAAGAGACTAGGAAAACCTTTGTGAATAAGCCTTGCCAAAAGAAATTGACGAGAGACAGAATCAAAGGCTTTTTTGATATCAAGTTTGGCACAAAAAATCTTAGCCCCGTCTCTTTTACCAGCATAGTAAAGAATGTCACTAGCAAGCAGAATGTTATCCGTAGAAACTCTAGAATTCACAAACCCAGCTTGATTGTCTTTAACAATCGAACTCATAACCGGCTTTAGCCTAACCGCCATAATCTTCGCAATGATTTTGTACAATACATTACATAAGGCAATAGGCCTATACTCACTAATACTGGCCGCATTTTTATGTTTAGGGATGATAGTCAAAGCAGTAGATTTAACGCCTTTAGGAAGAAACCCTTTAGTGAAGAAGGATCTTATCGCCCTGCAAACAGTATGTCCAAGAATATGCGAGCCAGATTTAAAGAAATGAAAGTTGAAGCCATCTGGCCCGGGAGCGGAGGTAGAAGAACCCGAGAAAACAGTAGATTTAATGTCCTCATCAGTCACAAAAGAGATGATAGAAGAAGCATAATCATCAGGCAAAGCAGTGCCAATAAGGATAGAGTCCCAATCCACATTGCTGGGAGGAATGGGGTTGTACAGTTCCTGAAAATAATGAATGATAGTAGAGATAACATCCATTCTAGTAGCTTGGGAGTTACAGGTCAGCAGATTGACCACAGATTTCTTACTACCCATTCTAGACCTGATTTTAGCATACATAAATTTGAGGTCATCTTCCCCATGTTTTAGCCGGTTGACCTTAGCCCTTTGAATAATCCATGAAGCTTACATAGAAGTGAATTTAGCCAAATTAATATTATTATCCTTGTAAGTTTGGTTGAGAATCAGATTTGAAGGATCCCTATGAAGGGAGTTCAACAACTCTTTTTGTTTATCATGCAATAGATCAATATGCCTGCTCACAAAAGAGGATGAGGCCCAGGATTGGTTTTTAATATTTCTTTTGAAAATTCTTAAAGTATTGCACAAATGAGACAGCGAATTTCCCCCTGAAGGCATGATAATGGCATCAACAAGGAGAGCCCAATATGAATCTAACTTAGTCCAGTAATTTTTAAAGAGAAATCTGTGCTTGACCTGAAATTGAATCCCAGAGTGAATAATGATCGGAGAATGATCAGAGCACGAAGGGCTTTGATAAGAGAAATAAGAATCAGGAAAGGAATTCGCCCAGGCATCATTAACCAAAACTCTATCAAGTTTGATATGTATAGGGTTCTCCTGACGTTGATTAAACCAAGTAAATTTGCAGCCAATAGAGTGGAGATCAATAAGACAGTTATTAAAAATTATATTATTGAAGTCTAGCAAAGCAGCATGATTAATGGGCGTCCCCCCCAATTTTTCAGAGGCAAATCTACAGCAATTGAAGTCTCCCAAGAGAGCCTAAGGTGTGTGACCAGGCGGGGCAAGCATATTGATGTCATCCCACAATGATTTACGTTCAAGACTGTTGTTAGCAGCATAAATAACAGTAAGTTTAAATGGAGAGAAAGAAGCTCCAGAAACCGTCCCAGATATCAGTTGTGAGGTGGTGACATCAGGGGAGAAATTGATTCTTGTGGGATTCCACTTAATCCAAATTCTCCCTGATTGAGAGAAATCAAAATTGTGGCAACTCGATTCATTCGGAAAAAGAGAATGAGAGGACATAAAAAAACTGATCTTTCAAAGACTGAACTTGAATTCTGTTTTCCAAAACGCAAACCATATCTAATTTAAATGATTCAATAAGACGTTTAAAACACCAAACTTTATCAGGCCGGTTAAACCCCTTGATATTCCACGCTGCAATAGGTGGAATAGACATTAAGACTTTGATTGCTTTTGGGGTTTTTTGACCTGCTTCCCCTTAGCAGTCTTCTTGGATGATATATTGTTCTGTAGGGCTTTTGATTTACCAACATCTTTTTGAGTGATATCTCCACTACCATCATCGAGACCATCATAAGAATTCCCTTCAGACCCAACATTTACATCTGTATGAGATGAAGAATCTTCTTCAATGCCTAAAGCATCGAATTTGTTAGGAGATATGATGTCTTTTTGCACGGATGAAGACTTGTGGTGCAGGATGCTAGAGAAGGAAGAGACATCCTCATTTGGGGAATTCAAGTTAGGAATACCCGTGCCTGAAGCCGCGCCAATGTGCTGGGGATCGGAAAGTTCCAAATCCTGAACATGAACATTAGGAATGGAGGCCGTTTTGAAAGGAGGTGGGGAGTGAGGCTGATAGTGGAGAGGTTTCCCAAGAACATTGGGGACATCAAGAGCTGGGATGGAGCTAGAAGGCTTATCATTAGAAGTATAGGGAGGAATTGATTAGACAGCTGTTGGTCTGGTAAAGTTCTGGGGTCTGGACTGATTGCGTGATTTAGGCCTTCTACTATGACTTCTACCACGATTTTTATCATTCTCCAATACTTGTTCATCAGCAGGGAGTTCCGGCTTAGAGGGGTAAGAGGAAGAAATATGCATTAGGGACTTACAGTGGGCACAAGGGAAAGGACGCCATTCATATTGAACCTTTAAGCTCACCACGTCCCCATCCAAAGACACCTTGATCTCCTCCGGATAAGTGGTATTACAGTCAACTA